TATATATATAGATTGATTAGAACACTCTAGCGGCTATCATAGGAAGAGTTCTCTCCTATTAAGAAGATAGTAGTTTTTACATCCAACTTCATATACTTTGTATGTTTTTATTTCTTAAAAATTTCAACAGCACCTACTCGCTATTCTTCATGTACACTGTGCAGATGTTATTATGCATACTTGGCAATAGATCAAAATGTAAAAAAACGTACGCTTATTATACACAGAGAACAATGACTACGTGCTGTAGAAATGTTTAAGAAATAAAAATATAAAAAGTATACAAAATTGTGAGTATGCTCTACTATATTCCTAACCTATCCGAACTGAATAGATCCAATAATTACGAACTTGAGTTTCTACTCATGCTATAAAGTAAACAATCATTTTTGGGTGGAAAACTTAATTTCCTACCCAAATATGAGGCGTCTATCTTTTAATATATGTCAAAAAAATCGAATGTAATTAATGGATGGGAGCCTGGGGAGAACATTATCTTTTATTCACCTAAATTTGATATATAACACATTATTAGAACATATTGGGTTATATAACACCCTATTTTTTGAAAACTTTTATTTGATGAATCATACATTTTCATAATACACACGAAAATTAGTGTAAATCGGCTATCATGATTCCAGTGACGATGTTAAAGTAAATATTTCTAGTGTTATTTCCATTACTAAGGTAACTAATACAATTTGATTTAGGGATAATTACATTTAGGGTTATATTTAAAGTTAAAATTACTAGATCTGTTGGAACTATGGTTAAATTAAGTTTAGTATTAAAAGTATCATTTTGATTAGAGTAAAATTGTAGTTAATTTTTGATTTAGAATTGATTATAAGTGTTGTTCAAATAGAATAAAATATTGTCAAATTAGTGTTTAAAATTAGGGTTAATAGCTGATCATTTTTTCTAGGGTTATAAGATTCAAATATTTTTCATTTTGGGTTAGAATTTAAGGTATTTAGTAAATTTGAACAATAAACTGTAAAAATTATTAAAAAATTGAAATATTTTATTAAAATACACACCATAATAGAGTTCTTGGACTGAGGACACAGTGTTGTGGGGTGGTGGCATAGAACCACGGGTCTATGACGATAGGGCAGTATGGCACGGTCGAGAACGCTTGTAGGGTGGCGCGGTCAAGAGCGGCAGCATGCGGCGCAGTCGATAGTAGCGTCATGCCATGCGGTCGAGGTCAGCATGCGGTGCAGTCGATAGCGGTAACGTACGGTGTGGTAGCGTTATCGATGATGCTGTACGGTGGCAGTTGAATAGCTGTGAGCCGGGCGGGTCGCGATGCAAGTGTAGTGATAGCGGGGGGGAGGGGGGGGGCCGGGGGGGGGCCGTGTAGTACGGAGCAGTGGAGAGAAAGAGAGAGAGGTCTGGTCGGGTGATGAGATAGAGAGAGAGAAATGAGAGTGGCAGCTAGGAACTGAGATATTATCGTTAGGGGTTTTTTATTTTTTATTTGGTGGGTCCTAGCATCCTCGGACCCTAGCATCCTAGGATGAAATTTCCGTCTAGAATGTTGGGGCCCACTAAAATAATTAAAAAATTAAATACATTCTAACTAGTATGTCAACCAATATAAAATTTTCTAGACGGAAATGTTTCATCTAATTTGGATCAAACTAGACTAGGCGGAAAAATTTCCATCTAGTTTGATCCGTCTAGTCAAAGCATTTCTCTACTAGTGTTCTCTCAAAAAAAAATCTCTACTAGTGATTGGCTTTTCTCAATGGGTTTCACAATTAAAAGTATTTTTATATTATTTCCATAGATAGCAGACCGATCCATCCAGATCAGTCTATCAGACTCGACGGAACTTGCTTCTACCTCAGATCCACCTCCGGGTTTCGAGAAAGCTAACAGCAAAGCCAAGAGGGTCAAAAAGAAAGTCACCAGTGGTATTCACATGCCTATGCCTTTCAAAAAGCACCTCTCTAAGATGAAGAAGGGTAAGAAATCAGGTATATCTAAACCCTCAACTTCTTCCTCTGTCTCCACTCCCCCAATTCATTCCAGTGCGTTGGAGAGATTAGAGGAAATCTCTGTCAATTGCGGTATCCAAGAACCGATAGATCCTCAAGGGTTGATCGACATCCATAATATGATGTCTGAAGATGCCCTCCCTCTTTGAGTCCCCCCTCCTCTCTGTTCGCGGGAAAAATCGTGTCTTTCTTCATTATTGATTCCATTGCTATCTTTAAATAACAACTTTTTGAGTTATAAAGATCCGGTCTTTTTATAAGATCCGGTTACAACGAAATAAAAAATAAAGAAAAAGATTACAACTTTCTCCTTTTATCGAACAAATCGCGAGCTCCTGTTTGCGGTCACTCGCTTTGTGGGTTCTTTGCCTGCGCCGGGGTTTATCCGTGGACCACCATCTAGATCCGGTCGGATCTACGCAGTACGACGGGTATTATTTCACCAAGGAAATAATAGCCGGGCTTGGTGAAATAATACCCGGGGAGGATTAGTTCACCAAGGAAATAATCGTCCAAATCTCGGGATCAAAGGCCAAGCTTTGATCCGGAGTATGCCTGCGTAGATCTGAGATCCGGTCCTCTCGAACACCTGCCTTATTTGGCGTTGACGATCGCCGATCACCAGATCTGGATGAACAAGTCCTCGAAGTCCCAAAGCTTGGATCTTTTTAAGTTCTGAGTCTTGAATCCAGCAGGGATTCACCTCTCCAAATTTTCCAACCATTTCAAATGAACATCCCATGGCCTATTTACGGAGCTGGCTCGGCCAGGTGGCTCGGCCAGGCCGAGACACTTGTGAGTGTCTTGGGTATTTTGAACATAACTTTCTCGTATGATCTCCAAATGACCTGATCCAAGATACATTGGAAAGCTGACAAATAGATCTACAACTTTCATGTTTTGAGTTTCTTCAGATTATAACGGGATCATGGTCAAAACAGCTCCACAAGTTCCAAGACACCTTTGGGTGTCTCGACCAGGTCCGAGACACCTCTGGGTGTCTCGGCGTTATTTTAGGCATAACTTCCTCATATGACCTCCAAATGACCTGATTCCAGATGGGTTGGAAATTTAACAAAAATATCTACCATTTTCCCGTTTTGAGTTTCTTCAGATTCAAAACGAATCATAGTTAAAATAGCTCCACAAGTTCTGAGACACCCTTGGGTGTCTCGGCTCGGGCTGAGACATTTTGTTTTGCACACTTGTCCATTTTCGTCATAATTTTTTCATCCGAACTCAGATTTAAGCGATTCAAAGTGCATTGGAAAGCCGATGAGGAGTTATATAAGCTCCAACGATTAGATCATCTGTGGAATAAATGAGACACGAAGGGCATTTCGTCTTTTGTAAGTGACACGGGGCTCCCGATCAGTTCGTATCTTTATTATTCTGAAACTCCGTTGCTTCACATAGTTTGCCGATTCACTTCAAGTGTTCGTCGACATTAATCAAACTTCTGTGAACCAGATGGTGACGTTCATCATCTTCTCTTAGCTTTGAGCTGTTCGTGGAGACCTATAGGCAATTTTCGATGCCTACACTCTCAAGTTGTTTATTATCCGTTATCATGCGTATCGGATCTTGGAATGTTAGAGGGTTAAACAACCCACCCAAACGTAGGTTGGTCAGGGAATGTCTCTTATTGGCCAAAGTTAACCTTGTCGGTCTGCAAGAATCCAAATTGTCCTCCCCTAGCCCTTCTCTTCTTAAATCCCTGGGGGGTAGAAACATATCATCATGGATCTCTCTCGATGCTAATGATTCTAGGGGAGGAGTTCTTTTGGGGTGGGATGAAGACATTTTTTCCTGCTTATCCTCATCAGTAGACATCTTTTCCGTATCGGCTACTCTCACTCACAGACCATCTAATTGGAGCTTCGTAGCCACCTCCATTTATCTTTTCCGTATCGGCTACTCTCACTCACAGACCATCTAATTGGAGCTTCGTAGCCACCTCCATTTATGCCCCATGTGACTCCTCAGAGAGGGAGGTTTGTTGGTGGGAAATAGAAAAAATTAGAGGTTCCCATTCTCTTCTATGGGTGGTCTTCGGAGATTTCAACATGACTCTTAGTACTGAAGAAAGAAGTGGTCGCTCTAGCTCCATCCGAGACATTAAAGTATTCCAACAACTCATTGATTCTGTCCAGCTCTTAGACCTCCCCCTTAGTGGGAGATTGTTCACCTGGTCTAATCATAGGTCCCCCCCTTCACTAGCCAGGTTGGATAGGTTCTTAGTTTCTCTGGATTTTGATTCCAAATTCCCCCAAATGGTTCAGTTCGCCTATCCTCCTTCGTGCTCAGATTACTGTCCCATTGTTCTGGACACAGCTTCCCTCTCCTTCCCCTCTCCTCTTTTCAGATTTGAAAAAATGTGGCTTTCGCTCCCATCCTTCCCATCTTTCATAGAATCTAGTTGGAAATCCTTCTCTCTGCAGCAGGATCTAAAAATTCCCCTTCTTTTTAAACTCAAACTTATTAAAAGAAGGATTAAATGGTGGAGGAAAAACTGCTTCGGATCTCTTTCCCAGTCCATCTCTAATCTCTCTTCCCAGATTCACACCCTCAATATCAGCGAAGAATCTAGAAGCCTATCCCCATAGGAGTCTCAGCTTAGATCAGCTCTGAAAGATCAGCTCCTCTCTCTAGCCAAATCTGAGGAAATTAAGTAGGAGTCTCAGCTTAGATCAGCTCTGAAAGATCAGCTCCTCTCTCTAGCCAAATCTGAGGAAATTAAGTGGAAACAGAGATCCCGCATCCAATGGTTGAAAGAAGGAGATAACAACACTGCTTTTTTCCACAAAGTAGCCTCCTTCCACCGTAGAAAGAATTTTATCCCCCACCTCCTCATCGACAACTCTATCATCTCTTCTGACAGTGACATCAAACAAACCTTCTTTTCTTTCTTCTCTAATCTCTTCGAGCAACCTCCAGTATCTAGTCTATCCCCTAACTGGGGCATTATTTACCCAGATGAAAACTTTGATCTCTCTTCTTTAGACCTTCCCTTCTCCCCTCAAGAAATCTTAGAGGCAGTTTTTGGACTTCACCCTGACAAATCCCCTGGGCCTGATGGATTCCCCATCCTCTTCTTCCAGAAATTTTGGCATATCGTTCAAGCGGATGTAATTGATTTTATTCAAAGATTATATTCTCAACCTCATCTATTACACAATATCAATTTCTCACATATTTGCCTTATCCCCAAGAAGGAGGGTGCCCTCTCACCTAAGGACTTTCGGCCTATTAGTCTCATTAATAGTTCTTGTAAGATTTTCTCTAAGATCCTGGCAAACAGACTCAGAAAAGTTCTTCACCTCCTTATTGACAATTCCCAATCAGCCTTTCAATCTGGTAAATCATCTTTAGACTCCTTTCTTCTTGGTCATGAGATGATTAATTTCTGCTCCTCGGGGAAAAAGGAGATTTGCGCCTTTAAGGTTGATTTTTATAAGGCTTTCGATTGTGTCAATTGGTCCTTCCTTCAGTCTCTTCTAAAAGCCAGGGGTTTTGGTCCCAAGTGGTGTCTTTGGATCCACACCATCCTATCCTCTTCTAAATCAGCTGTTTTAGTAAATGGCTCCCCAACCAAATTTTTCCGATGCTTTAGGGGCCTCAAACAAGGCGATCCTCTATCCCCACTGCTCTTCTTGCTGGTGGCAAATGTTCTCAGCAAATTGCTCAAATGTAGTGCTCAATCGGGGGATTTATCTGAATTAAACCTGAAAGGGCAGCTAAATAATATCAGGTCTATCCAGTTTGCGGATGATACCATTATTTTCTCTAGGGCTACCCCCTCTGACATGGTTACACTCAAAACTATTCTCTCTATCTTCGCTAACATTTCTGGCCTGTGTGTTAACCCCCTCAAATCAAACCTTTTTTACCTTGGTAAAACTCCTCTCAAAGGCAAAATGCTAGCCGAGATCCTCAAATGCTCTGTTGGCACTCTCCCGTTCTCATACCTGGGTCTCCATCTTAAAAGAGGATCTCTTTCCAAAAGAGAGTGGCAACCTCTTCTAGAATCCTTCAACAAGAAGCTTTCGCTATGGAAAAACAAATCTCTTTCAATTGGTGGAAGGCTAACTCTCCTAAATTCAGTCCTATCTGCTCTTCCCCTCTACTACATGTCTTTTTTTTAAGCTGTCGCAGTGGCTTATAAAGGCCATAGACAAAATCAGAAGGAACTTCCTATGGAATGGTAGCCTCTCTCATTCGAGTATTAAATGCTTAATTAGTTGGAGGAAAGTTTGCAAGTCTAAATCTGAAGGAGGCCTGGGGGTCCTTGACATTGAAACTTTTAACAGAGCCCTCCTATCTAAATGGTTGTGGAGACTCTTTGAAAGAGAGTCCCTCATTAGTAAAGTGGTTTTCTCTGTCTACTCCAAAGACGGTTCAAATCCTTTTGCTCATCTCCCAAAGTGCTCGGCATCAAGGTTCATTCTTGACTTATCCTCCATTAGCTCCACTTTTTTCAGCTTGGTTAAATGGAGAACTGGGGATGGCAAAACTGGAAGTTTTTGGCACGACAAATGGTCTGGGACAAACTCCCTTAGCAGCTTATTTCCAAAAGCTTACCAGTTAGCCCTATCTCAGTCCTGCAGTATCAGATCTCAGGGCAGAATGATCAATCTTTCATGGAACTGGTACCCCCTTATCAGAAGAGGTATATCGCCTTCAGAAAGGTCTGATCAAAACCTTCTCCTCACTCATTTAACTTCTTCAAATATCAATATTTCTTCTACTTCAGATGAGCTTTTGTGGACCCTTCTCCCATCGGGGATTTACTCTGTTAAATCATTCTACTCCCTTGTCAACTCAGGGGGTATTAAATCTAAGTTTTATAGCATGATTTGGAGATCTTCCATCCCAAATAAGGTAAAAGTTCTTTTCTGGATCATCACAAATAAGAAGTTAAACACGAAGGGAAATTTGATTATTAAGGGCTGGACATGTGACCCAAGATGCTCCTTTTGTTTATCTATTGTTGAAACTCACGATCATCTGTTTACCAAATGCCCATTTGCACGAGCTATCTGGTCATACATCTTCCCCTCTATTCCCACAAACAGTTGGCCTCAGACGGTTGAGGAATTGATATTTTTTCATAAATCCACCTTTCTTAGCAAGGATGCTAAACTCATCTGGAAGATATTGTTGCCCTGTACTTGCTGGTGGATTTGGTTTAGTAGAAATGCTCTCATTTTCAAGGATGAACAACCTGATCCTCTACTTATTGCTTCTAACATAGGGAGATACTCTATATTCTGGACAGGTGCTGCGGATGAGAGGCTGGAAAGGAGACTTCGCAGGGCTGCCCTAAGCACTGGACTTTAGGAGCTGGCAAACAAGAGGGCTGATGCCTCTGGGGATAGTTCCCCCCATGCCCTCTAAACTTTCTCTTTCACTTTTTCTGCTGGTGAAGACACATTACCTTTTGATGGTTATCTGTTGATGTTTAGTCCCCTAATCTAAGTTTGTTATGTTTCCATGTATGTGTTTAGCGAACTCTAGTATGTAAGTATGTAATATGTGCCGTCTAGATGAAGCTCCGTTGTGGGTCCAGTTTGGTAGGTGACGACATAGGTCCACTCCTTACCTGCTACACCCTACGTGGCTCTTCATCTAGTTGTGATGTTTGCTGTTTATTAATAAAATCCTTATATGAGCAGGGTTTCTAACCCTGCTTTTTCTGCTCAAAAAAATATATATATATTATTTCCATAGATATTATCATTCCCTGGTCTAATGAGTAAGAATATTTTATCTATGAATTATAGAGATTCTTTACAACTAAGGATGTAGAAGTTCTCTATTAGACTTTGAGTTAATGTAGGGCTCCTTGTTCGTCGCCTTTAGTTAGATATTCAGCTCCTAATTCTTGGTCCATTGGAAGCGGTCCAGTTGCAATCATAAACTTGTACTTAGTAAAATCTATTTTCAATCGAAAGCAAATTGGTTCTTTGATATCAAATTGTTTGAATGTTAGTAATATTCAACTATTGTTTAACTCTCATGTGACGTATCATCATAATGCCGACTAAAGTTCATGAGATGTGTACAAGTGGCCTTAGTACACGAATACATTTAATTAGTCCTAGAACAAAAGATTGAGCTGGAACACAGTAGCCGGTGAAAGGTACCCTTTCATATCCCTTAACACTTCCTTGGTTAATGCTTGGATACAACTGTAACCACAATAATTTAGTCTCTGCTCGTGGTGGGGTGCTTCTTAAAATCTACACGTGTACATATCTTCTTCTTAAATCTATACATACATGCATATACCTAAATTTAGTCTTTGGAATAACATCACTCAGTGCGTCTAGTTTAGTTCCTTCTTGCCGCAAGCCTCTATACTAACATTGAATTCAAAATATATTGCCTTAACAGCAAAGAGAGAACTTTTTCAATCATAATCATTCAATAGTATATAGATCATTTATGATGTAGCTGAATGAAGCTGCAATTTTCTTATATTTATTCAATATATATAAATTGTATTTATTTAATAAATAATAGATCATTATGATTAAAAAAATGACATGTAAATAATGATATCTACGCTCTCAAAGACTATCGGGTTAGATGACAATTCCCATGAAAGTTCTAAATTAAGCTATAGTGAACCCTACACACATGCATAAGTTGATTGCTCTTTCATGGGCAAAATCTTGAATTTATTGTTGAGATTTTTAGATCACACAAAAATCTAAAAAACCATCAAACGCAGCAAAGAGAATCACACACAAGATTTAACGTGAAAAACCCTCAATAGGAAAAAATCACGAGATTGAATATACTCCACTAATGCCTCCAAATTATAAACGTTTGCATAAACAAAGACTACAAAACTCTCTCGCATGATACCCTTGAACTCAATTACACCATTTGTTAAATGATTATTACAAGAATATTGTATCTTTCTCCCTCTTGCTACTAAAAAACAGTAGAATATGATACTTTGTTTAAAGACACCCCTAACTTGCCCACCAAGTCAACTTCCCCTACAAGAAAATTATTAACTTGGTCTCTACAAAATCTACTAGGACTAGGTCTAGCCTTCAAATCCATATCCAAGTTGGAGTTTGAGTTGGCACCCAACATATCCGCCCTCAACAAAAAATCCCCAAGTATGTCAATGGCTTTAGAAAAACTCACTTTATTCTTCTTATTCGTCACATCTCCCTTGTGGACAACAGTCTGAGAAGATTCGCCTATACCATTAACATAACGCTCATCTAACTAGCAAATATAGTTGTTATGCTTCCTTCCTCATAAAATCAAATCACCATCTCTATACATTTTTCACCACTCTCTTCACTCACATATTTGTACCCGTGTGATGCCATAAATTAAATTAGCACCACATGACGACACATATCTCACATGACGAAGAATTCCAACCTTCCTAGTGTGATGCTTGAGGGAAACACTCCCAACGCCTTCAACCTTCCTCTTCTCATTGTTTCTAATAATCACGCCACAAAATTCTTTATCCATCTTTAATGTGTCAAAACTCTCTTTGTTATTGCAAACATTTAAAGGCTTCAGCATCTAGCACACAATTGTTACTCGCATCATTATCAGTACTTTTCATCATCAGCACCAAATCTTCATCGCATACAACTGCCGAGGAGTTCTCATTCTTTCCATTTTCTTGAAGCTTCATCTGCCTAATGCTCTTCAAATCATCTTGCATCTAAAATATATGAATCGAATGTGACCATTCTCTCTGCAATAGTAGCACTTCCTTTCGCTGTCGTCTCAGACCCGAGATTATAACCGTTCTCGATAACTGTCACATCTCCTCTTACTCCTCCCTAATTAGAACTTTCCAAAACTAGTGCACTCTCACTACTAGATGTGATCTCCTTCTCATCATTCTTTCATTCTCTCGTAGGAGTACTATCACATTATCAAACTTTAAAATTTACTTCCTAGCAATTATCCTTTGAACCAATAGCTTGTACAACATCAGAAGGGAAGATACTAGGAGTAGCACCTGCTCTTATTCTTTAATCTCCTCATCAATATTCATAAGTTGGCAAACTAGCTGATTGAAGTCTTCGATGTAGTCTTGAATAACAGTACCTTCTTTCATATTCTATGAATAAAGCTCCATACTCAAATATAATCGGTTGGACATTGACTTCGATGCATAAATCCCCATAAGCTTGTCCCATAGCCCCTTATTGTTGTCTCGTGTATAGTGTTGTACTCAATCTTGGGTGCGAGTGCCAAATGAATTTTGGTAACCGCCTTCTTTTGCGTGGAACTCCACTCAGCATCCTTCATCCCTTTAGGCTTCTTCTCTTTGAAAGCTTGATCAACACTGAGTTACACAAGAAGATCTTGAACCATACTATAAAATTTGTCTTGCCATTAAAATGCAGAATATCAAATTTCGGACCCGAAGATGTCACATCCTCTAACAACAACAAAGTTCAAATTAGTCGCTGTAGAGATTGAATTTGGTAGAACAAACCTAAATAAACGAATTCAGCATGTTGAAGAACCATAAGAACGAGTACTTAGATCGTCAAATTTTACCTCCAATTCCCCGATCAGAAAATAAATCAATCTGCACTGTCGGATTTGATTTGATAATTATTAATCAAACCCTAACCAATGTGAATAGTGTATGTTCCCGCTACAATAATCTTTTTTCCCTCGTTTTTTGTCAGCTACAAATTTCATGCTAGCTGACCCCTTCTTTAATAAGAATGACTTTTCTTTAACCCCCAACTCCAATTATGATTGTCTACAGGCCCTCCAAATCCTCCTCTAACGGTGTCTGGTTCTCTCATTCGTCTGATGTTTGATCACCATGCCTCAATCGCTGACGCTCTCACGAATCGCACACCGCTTGAACCTCCACGAATCATCAAACCTCGTTCTGATACCACTTGTTGAGATTTTTTTAGATCACGCAAAGACCCTGAAAACCACCAAAGGCAACAAAGACAATCATACATAAGATTTAACGTGAAAAACCATTAACAAGGAAAGACCATGGGATTGAAAATAATCCACTATTACCATCAAATTAAGATATTTTGTACAGACAAAGACTGCAAAATCCTCTCTCTCACAATACCCTTGAACCCGGATACACCTTCTATTAAACGTTGATTTCAAGAATATTTTATCTAGAGCCCTTTCTCTACTAAAAAACCCTAGAATATGATGCCTTATTAAAAGCACCCCTAACTCGCCAATCAAGTCAGCTTCATCTACAAGAAAATTTTTAACTTAGCCTCTAAGAAAGCTACTAAGACTAGGTCTAGCCTTCAAATCTAAATCCAACTTAGAGTTTGAGTCGGGACCCAATACTTATGTTGCAATATCTTTTTTATTTTAAAATCTGCATTAAATACGGAGCCCACATAATTGTAAACTAGATAACTCTTATAAGGAGTTAAAAGGCGTTTTCACAACACCAAATCTCTATAGTTATAGTAAGAATTGAGGATTAACATGATCTATCTCACAAGAGAATCCTCAAGGGAAAGTGGTATGACAGCTCAGAGGGAAACTACGAGGAAAGTTCTGCAGATAATGGGTCAGAGACGTGTTTGCTTGAGGAATTAACCAAAATTATTAAAAGCATATGCTTTCTTAATCATTGATTAATCTTCTAGATTTTTCTATTTGGTGGTTATATTGTTGCCAAATGTACGGAAAAGCTCAAGCTTGGAGCGTCGTAGGATTTGAAGCTAGGCTGACTGTCGGTTAGATGATTTGCTAAAATCGGTGTTCCCTCTTTGCATTAGGTGATATAATTGGTTTAGAATCTTCTCTTATTCAAGTGTTAGCAGCAACTATACCTCCTAAACCGTTTTATTAGCACTTAACGCCCATTTGGTATGAGGTTAAAACAATTAAGGTTAAACTTTAACCTATTAATTATTATCCTAGAACATTTAGTGGGAAAACGTTCATGTGTTTGGTAAAACATGTCATAAGCGTTAATACTTAAGACAATAAGATCTCCACTGCTCTGAACTCAAAATGCATAAATTACGTAAAGCCCCATTAAATCTTTAAAATTATAAACAACCTGCAGCTAAAAAACTGAACAATTATGAAAAGCCTCATGCACAATTAAAAATTTGCAAAAAACATTCTAAGAGTTTGAAAACACAGAAAACACCCTTAAAATTTCAGAAAATACAGAAAACATCCTAAAAGTTTGAAACCTATAAACAAAGTACATTGACAATATTGGATTACAAACATCTCCCAAAAAGTTTTGGAATTTGCAGAAAATACCCTAGATGTTTAAAAATTACAAAAATACACTCAAATATTTAAAATTTATAGAAAACATTCTT